AAAAAAAAAACAGGCTGCGCATGGACTATTTTTGCATGACCCTGAGCAGAAACCACAAATCAGCACTTTTGAAAACACATTCCTTCATGTGATGAAACTGTGATTTGACCAGCTAAGGCTGTGATGAAATTTGCTCCATTAAAATATGTCCTCACATGATTTATTTGTTTAAAGATTAACACGCAAATGCGTTTTTTATTTCCACAGCGTCCCTAAGGGGAAGGGGTTTTTTGTAGCTCTTATTTTTGGAGATGTGGGAATGTTTTTCTTCCTCACAGAGAGCCAATGGGACACACTGAGCTACTAAAGGGTTTGTTGACATTGCATGTTGGTGCAGTGGATATCAGGATTTGTTATTTTTGTTGCTTTTATTTTTCTAGCGAAACTGCAGCATCTAATATTAGTCGAGGTGTCTGTTTTTAACACATGTTTGTTGGCTACTAACTAATGATTACTAAGGATTTCAATAATTTTATTTTTTTTTATTATTATTGTTTTGGTTATAAAAGCATGGAGCCCCTTGTAATCTCAAAGAACCCATAGTAATATTCAATTTGCTGGCATTGATCAAAAAACTGTCCAGAATAATATGATATGTGATAGGTTGGCAGTATATGACAAAGCAAAGCACCAGAGCTTTGTTGTGAGAAGCTGGAACTAGAAAATGTTTGGCATTTCTGCACAAAAACGTACACAAAGATTCAGTTATGTCTTTATATCAATGAAGGGATTAACAGGTCCGTTCATTTATCTGTTTTTTTTCCCAGTAAAACCTTTTTCAGTCTCCAGACAGTCTTGAAAGAATTGTGATGGAACATTGTCCAACTATCTACTAAGTTCACTTGAGAAATGTTATTTCTACATTGGCCTTTGTGTAGAGACAGGGTGTTTCCTTTGTCTGTCTATAGGTAGAGTTCTAATATACAAACACTTGGGTGCAACTTGGAACCAAAGGCACACCCACACACACATAAAATGTTTTTGCATGCAACACCTGCCACAGGTGGCACTTTCTAATTGACTTTTGTCACTTTCAATTAAGACCAACAACTCTTCTCTCGTTGCAGAGAGTCTATGGACGATGACATCCTGCTGCCGTACACACAAGGCCACGGCCCCTCCCACTCTCATCGCTATGTCAGGGATTGTCAGCCCATCATTCATGGCAACACCACCTATGAGAGTTGGGCCTCGAGTAACCGCAGCGGGCAGCCGGTTGCTGAGGCCAAGTTGTTTGTGTCGAATATTCCGGGGAGCTCCAGAATTGTTTATGGTTAGTGATGACATCATAAGTTAAAGGAACAAAAAATAATATCAATCTCTGGTGTTTGATTTATTGATCCCTCCCCCTTCATCTCAAAGTGTTGGCAAGAATCCTTTATTATATATCACTGAAGATTCAATTTCACCTCATCCTGCTGCGGCTTTCTTACCAGGACACATGACAGTGGTCAACGACCCCCTGAGGACGGTGTCTGTGTTGGAGCCAGGGGGGCCAGGCGGCTGCGAAATGAGAGTGAGGGCAACAGTACGAGAGACGGCTGAAGCGGCTGAGTGCCTGTATGCGCAAAATGCTGGTTTCTTCAATACAGGAACAAAGGAGTGTCTGGGAAACGTGGTGAGCAACGGCAGGGTGGTGCGGGACAGTGGAGGACTGCAAAATGCCCAGTTTGGAATCAGAAAAGACGGCAGCCTAGTGTTTGGGTAAGAAATGCGGCTTGAAAATGTAAAACAGAGAAATCTACTACAGTGATTGTTGATTCACCATTAGATCATAGCCCCAAAGACAAAGGATGAGTTCATCCAAATACTCAAAGATATCTGCGTGACCAGACGTGATCCGAGGTGAGGTAATGTTTTATATGCAGTTTTACAGACAGACAGTACGTTTTCTCCTCTGACAGGTGTGTCTCAAGTACCGTTTCTGTCAGGCATCTGTGCTTTATATGGCCGACTGTTGGATATTTTCCTGAAAAGATAAAAATCCTAAAACAAAGGAAAAAGATGTTTGTGTCAATCCAATTTTATATATAGCACCAAATCACAGCAACACTCACCTCATGGTGCTGTATATTTAAAGGCATAGACACTACAATAATACAGAGAAAACCCCAACAATCAAACATCCTGGTATGAGCAAGCACTTGGGAACAGTGGGAATGAAGAACTCCCTTTTAACTGGAAGAAATGTCTGGCAGAACCAGGCTCAGGGAGGGGCAGCCATCTGCTGCAACCAGTTAGGGGGGGTGAAGGGAGCGAGACAGGACAGAAGACACGCTGTGAAGTTACCAATAATTGTAGAATTACTGCTAGATTGAGCTCTCAGATTACAATATTCAACGTACAAGCCAGCATTTATTTTTACAAGGTACAGCCCACTTTCACGGTTTGTATCATCAGTGTTTTCAAGCAGCCAGAAACCACACCGTGAATAAAAACAAACCTCTTTCCATTCCCTCTTTGTTCTTATCTGTACCTGACATCATGGTGTTAAAATATCTTCTCACCTCTGCCTCTGATACTGGCCTCTTTCAGGTTTTGTCCCAAGTAATGCACATTTGCAATACAGTGACTTCCTGTTTGCATAACTTATAACCTATGCTCTTTTTTTTAATGTGAAAAACAAAAGAAGATGAGCTCATGTCTGAATCACTCACTGATCTAACTAGTGTTTATCATTGTAGCATGTTAAATCAGTGGAAATACATTAAACTATTGTCAAGTTGTTGTAGAAAAAACTGCATATCTTTACATTAATGCTTTAAAGAGATTCACATTAAAATTGAACTAGAAGTTAAATAACACTCATATGTGAAGCCACCACATTTTCCTCGATGAACAAAAACAAACATCTGCTCATCGTCTATCTTTAAACCATGAAGTACTCTATGTAACTTGTTTGTTTGATAACTGAGGTCAGAAATGCACATGATGCAACATGATGTGGTTTGTGTTGTAGGTCACACTCCCAGGGAGCGAGTGGACCTCAGTAAAAAAATAACCTGCTCACAGTCCTGCTTGGGCCCTTTGTGCCGTTCATGACCTGTCAGTCGAGCTCATAATAAACCTACCTCTGATTTAAAATAGGACGCATTGCTTCGCCCACAAAATGACAGTTTTAGGTCCTAGTTTGAAGTGACTGTTAGGCTGTTTACACCTCCAGATAGAGCTGAGCTCAGTTTTTCTTTGTAGACACAGTGTCCAAAAGTTCAGTAGCCTTTGTCTACTAAACTAAATCAAGTACAGAGTCCAAACAGCTGTTTGCTGTTTGATATGACTAATAGGCTGTTAGATAACTGAAGTGTTGATGTCTGTGTGTGGGTTGTGTTGTTTTTTTTGTTTTGTTTTTTGTTTGTTTTTTTAAGAGATGCATCAAACAGCTACAGCGAGTACAAATGTGGGAACCACCGTGCTATGCTGTTTTAACGTTATCCCTCTAAGTTAACAGAAATGCTGTTAAAGTTAATAAAGCTGCCTGAACCTAAAGTGGTAAAAAAGAGGATTTGTTAGTAGTCGTAACACAAAAGTAAAAAAATATTCTTTGTTTTCTCTGGGGTGCATAAAAAACTGTGCAAATTGATGTCAGACATTTCAGCCTGGACTAAAGTAGAGGATTACCTACCAGCATTATTTATCACCACAGATATCAAATATAGAAACATGAAATTATAATATGTACTACAGTAGTATTATATTTATTTTATTATTTATATATTTTTTGAATTCCTTTCTCCCCTGTTACCGTTCAGGTATCTATCTCAGGATGACGTTTTGGATCAGTCCAATCCGTTTGTCCAATTAGTCAGCGGGGTGGTGTGGTTACTGAGAAACGGCGAGATTTACATCAATGAGAGCATTGAGGCCGAGTGCAACAAGACACAGGAAACAGGTAATGATGCAAATCCACATCCAGCTGTATTCATTTCTTTGACCACATGTATGTATAAAGGTTTTCAATCGTAAGATTTTAGGATTTGAGAAATAGAGATATTTATAAATCTTGTCACGGTATACTGATATTTATGGTGACTAGTTATTAACTGAAGTTAAGCAAATAAAAGTAAAGGTTGATTCTGACTGGTAGAATTTTTTTAAATGTTATATGGATATTGCAGTATTATCTGTAAAATTAAGTCTTATTCCACGATACTTGCATAGTGAAAATTTGATATTAGGACCGTCCTAACCCAGATTTTTGGTTACGTTAAACTGTTTCATGGCTCCAGCCTGTCAGTAACCCCCCCCCCCAAAAGAAAAAAAAAAATTCTCAGGATTTCAGTTAAAAAAACAGAGTTCATCAAATTTATTTTAGATTACTCTCTGCTTGTCCAGCATCATTTTCTCTGACCTTGGAATTGTCTGGGGCTTATTCGATCAGATTCAGTAACTAACTGCCTAGAGTACTTCAGTACTGGCATAACCCAGAGGCCTGTTCATAATGCCCACAATGTCTTTACATTTATAGACAGCTAATTCTTTTACATTGTCTGTGCTTACACTCTCTGTCT